GCTCAGCAAAATTAACTAACGGTAATAGTAGACTTGGTGATTTAGAAAAGGTTGGGGACCATTTTAGCTCTAAATGAAAGGTTGGGATAACATTTAGTATCTATAGTAAAGGTGGGGGACAAAATTTGGCATTTAGCGATGTGTGTATATCTGGTCCAATTCCAATAATCTAAACCCTAAACCGAAGCATGCTCTTGCTGGATTTGATCGCCGATGTTCATCTCCGCTTCGCGGTGAAGTGTCTCCTACGCTTCAGATGCGTTTCCAAATCATTTTGCGCCGAGATCGACTGTGCAGAGTTTGTCAACAATCATATCAAGAGATCAACCGAAACCAAAACCCACCAAAAACTCATCATTTACGAATGATCTTCCTTCTACGCTGTCGATTTTGATGACAGCTTCAGAGAAATCACCCCACTCTCACTATGCTGCCCACTCAAATATCCCCAAAGTGTCACTGTGCTATGCGGTGGTGTTTCAAATGGTTTGATTCTCTTGGGTATAATTCTTAAATCAAAGTTTCCGACGATGCGATTTATCTTGTGGAATCCATTCATTCGACGTTATAAGAATATACCAAGTTATGAATGCACTAGTTTTAGTAATTTTAACAGTTTCTGTCTTGGGTATGATCCCGCTCTTGATGACTGCAAGATTGTGATGATTTAAAAGTATCATAACCCCAAGGGTTCTCTGTTTCCTCAAGTCTTGGTTTTTAGTTTGAAATCAAATTCTTGGAGAAGGATTGAAGACGCTCCATTGTTTGCGAGTAGTATGATTGCTTTAACAACTGTTAGTGCTCTATATTGGACGTGTAATGATTCTAATGAGGTTAAGATACTTGGTTTTAACGTTGCAAATGAGGTGTTTTTTAACTTTCCGTTGTTGTCTGGCTTTCATGCCCAACTCATGCTGGTTCTTGATGGTAACCTTTATGTTCCTAGAATATGCAATGTGCATAAAACTCGAGAGTTTTACTTACGCGTGAGTGGCAAGGATGGAGATGAAGTAGGAGGTAGTTGGAGGAAAGCATTTGTAGTGGACGAAGGCAAGTTGAATGAGTTTAGTGGTTTGCTGTCTAGGCCTTTGACATATTCAAAGGAGGGGGATAACATCCTTCTTTGCAATGGAAACAGGTTTTCTTGGTATAACCATGAAATGGAAACGAGACAGAGAATAAAGATTGATGTTATTGGGAGGTGCCACTACAGCTACAATGTTTGTTCGTAAAGTCTTGTTTCTCTTGGCAGTGATAGTGCATCTGATGGGGAAGCTGTAGAGGTTAACGGTACATATAAGTTCAACAAATTATTATAAGTATTTTTGGTACATTAGATGATGCCATGATAAGCTATACAACAGCATATAGCTTTCTCATTCCCTCAATCCCTCAATCCCCCTCCGTCTATATGAAGATTTGAACTCGAAATTTTCAATTCAAAATCTCATGTTCTTAACCATTTAAAATATTTTTTGTAGCTTAACAAATTATTTTTTTTTGAACAGCAAAAATATTTTATTGATAATATAGAGTACAAGAGGTACTCAATCCCATTTTACACAATCCTACTTAGACCCAATAAAATCCATTACAAATAGCCCACTGCTTTGGCCCCCTTCTGTTTGCCATAACTGGTTTTAAAACATGCTATCAGATCAATAATCCAATCTGAAAGATTAACAGTGGACCAATCTATTCTTGCTTTAATCCAATAAAAAGATCTCATTTGGACAAGTTCTAATAGCATTTCGGGATTTACCTCTTTGTTGTGGAAGATCTTCTTGTTTCTAGCAATGCACACAGACCAAACAACAATTTTCCAAATACAATCCATGCCTTCTCTGATGTCTAATCCTTTGGTGCCCATCCCAAGGAGTTGAAAAGTGTTCCAGCAATTCTTGTTCAACGTTATATTGATCCCCCACCATTTAGAGCAAGCCTTCCACACCCTCCTTACAATTTTGCAATTTAAGAATAGGTGAGTAGAATCCTCTTCTTCTTCATTACATAAAGTGCACTTAGCTTCTGTTGTGTCTTTAATGATCCCTCTTCTTAGTAAGTTAGCCTTGGTTGGTATTCTATCCAATAATAATTGCCAATTGAATGCTGAAATTTTGCTAGGGAGAAGGGGATTCCATATTCTTTTGCAGGTCTTGACTTCATTCAATTCCCCCCTGCTTAACAAATTATTATATGAAAGCATAGGCAAATTAACATCTTTTAGATGGTTCAAGTTTTAACCAAGTATTGAATTAGACATGTTTTTGATAATAAAGATAAAGGATGATGTTATTCAATGATAATTTGATATTTCAATATCAACCTCTTCTTTTCTATTTCAATGTCTCTCTTGGAAAATGTTATGTTAGAAGAACTACCATTGATCTTGCAGCTTTCATCTTGATTATGTATTTTTTACTCTTGTTTATATATTAACGTGGTAAACTACAGTATATATGGGAGTGCATTTTATGTATCAAATGCTGAACATGTAGGAAATTTAGTATGCATCTTTCAATGTAGTATACTTTTTGAAGTCATGTTTGGTTACTAGCTCTTTCGACATAAGCGAATCCCTTGTCTATTTGGTAAACTAGATATGGTAGCTTTCTATCGTGTGAATTCAGTTGAATGGGGCAATGAATCTTCTATCATGTTGTTACGCCTTTGAACATCTTCGTCTTGGGTACAATCAAAAGGGGCTCACTTTCAATTGGAATTGCAAATCAGCTGAAAAGGTTCATTTTGATGGTCGCTGTCTTTTTTTCTAACTTCAGTTTGGGTTTGCTGATCCCGGCGAATCAAGCTTTTAATTCCTGGTGGAAGTTTGAAGGATAGGGTTGCTGTGCAAGTCATAAAAGAGGCAGACTATATCATATTTTCCCCAGCATATACCAATTATGTTACTTTTTGGTAAAAAAATGATTGCTATGAAAATATTTTTTTAATTTAAGAAGAGTGAAAGTGAGGAATAAGCCTTATAATTAATTAAATTATAATATTTTTAAATATTATAATATAAAAATAGTGCTTATCCTCTTACTTTTTAAAGGTTAAAAAGAATATTATTTAAAAATTACGTAATTTTAATAAACACCTATGAAAAAATTAAAATATTTTATTTTTAAAA